ACATTTGCTGTTATGTTAAACTTATATTAAAGTTTTTCTTCATTACCCATTCAAGCCGTCTCCAGCCATTATTAGTCTCAAAGTGGGTTCCTCGTCATCGAATTTAAATATCGTTCTTATATAATGTCATTGACCTTTGCCCCTGACTTAGAGGTGGTAATGACATAACATAGTGTAAAATATGTAAATTTGTATTACACACACACACGAACAAGCGAAAAGATCAAAATACTTTAGTGGCTTACAAATTTCTCAGTAAACCTCTAATACAGAAACTCAACAGAAGAGCCAGCACTGCGTATGTTACCCCTAACCTGACTTCTACATAAAAGTCTTAGTTTTAACTTGAAAGAAAGCAGAATCGAAAAAGATAAAGAACTGCTGTGTCAGTACTGTTAATATTAGAGTTAACCCATTCCTTATACATCATGCCTTGCACGTTTTCCTCCTCACAGGGCTGAAATTGTGAAATGTTATATTGAGATCACGGTCAGAACCGCTTCTACTGTATAGATAGTATGAAACTACCAACTAAATTTCTCCGGGAGTGCAAGTGTTCCTTCTCTATAACTGGAAAATGAGTTTCTTTCTCCCATCATGTCTCGTTAGATTTATACATGTAGTAGCAGGATGTGCAAGTGTCCCTTCTCTATAACTGGTAAATGAGTTTCTTTCTCCCGTCATGTCTCGTTAGATTTATACATGTAGTAGCAGCCTTCTTTGAAATCATTAAATTCCTTTCTTGAGACTTAAGACGTTTTCAGACACTACTAACGAAAAGTTGTATTTCTAGTGCTACTACATGTATAAATCTAACGAGACATGATGGGAGAAAGAAACTCATTTTCCAGTTATAGAGAAGGAACACTTGCACTTCCTGCTACTACATGTATACGTAATTCTTTGTCCTATCTCAGACTAAAAAGAACTGTAGCAATTCAGTCAGATATTTATTTCAACTCCAGATACATGATATTCAGCAGAACAAGTTTACGATGTGCGAACTAAAGTTAAATCAACTAAAGTTCTTTTAGAATAAAGTTTGAACAAAATATGCCTATTTTAACCTAACAAAACAAAAACCAACAGCCCGTAAATGTGTCAGATTTTTTTAAGAATGTTTGTATTTCTCACTGCATCGGTGATGATTGCTCCTGCAGTGTTGCCGGTTGCGAAGTGGAGGATGCACTTCTCCTGTCAAAAGTTGACATCTTCTGACAGATGGATTTTTCATCTTTAAGTTAAATATGCCGGATACGGTGAAGCTGGAGATTTAAGAAGAGTCCTTGGAGGCTAAGAACGTGGCCAGCTTGTCAGACACATCTGTCGCTGGCAACTCTCTTATCAAGGACGGACTAGTGACGTGTGGGCAGGCGAAAATTAATGTGATTACAATAAAGGACACGAAACGTGAAAAACAAAACCTTTCATATCAGATGACGGCGTAAAGAAAGATTTCTGAACTCTTAATGGCTGGAGACGGGTTGAATGGGTAATGAAGAAAAACTTTAATATAAGTTTAACATAACAGCAAATGTACAACGTTTCGACATTCGTACCTGATGATGACAAAACTTGTCGAAACGTTGTACATTGCTGTTATGTTAAACTTATATTAAAATTTTTCGTCATTACCCATTCAAGCCGTCTCCAGCCATTATTAGTCTCAAAGTGGGTTCCTCGTCATCGAAATCAAAATTTCTGGACTTTGTTACTTAGCCAAAGAAAGAAACTGTTAAACTGAACCAGAAAATACAGTTTAAAATATTATAAAAGTTCTTAAATGTTACTGAAATAAAATGGAAAAAATGAAAAACCTCAAGTTAAAAACTTACAATGTGCCTAAAGTGTGACAGTCTGTCAAAGCATGTTCTCACTAATTTTAATAATGAGCAAACTGTGCAGTAGTAGTGAAACGAGCATGAGCTGTAAAGTGAAAACTGTGCAGAAGTAGTGAAACGAGCATGAGCTGTAAAGTGAAAACTGTGCAGAAGTTGTGAAACGAGCACAATCTGTAAAACGCAAACTGAGCAGTAGTAGTGAAATGAGCATGAACTGTAATGTGCAAACTGCGCAGAAGCAGTGAAACAGCAAAGCTGTAAAGTGCAAACTGTGCAGTAGTAGTGAAACGAGCATGAGCTGTAAAGTGAAAACTGTGCAGAAGTAGTGAAACGAGCACAATCTGTAAAGTGCAAACTGTGCAGTAGTAGTGAAACGAGCACAATCTGTAAAGTGCAAACTGTGCAGGAGTAGTGAAACGAGCATAAGCTGTAAAGTGCAAGTAGTGCAGAAATAATGAAACGAGCATAAACTGAATTTTCATGCTTAACATTAACCTTTCTAGCACAGTACACCTTTAGCATGTGTATTCTTGTTAAAACAATACAACATTTCTACAATGGAGAAAATTGTTTTACTTGGTTCGTTTGTAATTAAGCCCAAAGCTACACAATGGGCTATCTGTGATCTGCCCACCGCGGGTATCGAAACCCGGATTCTGGCGTTGTAAGTCCACAGACATAGCGCTGTGCCACTGGGGGACATTTTTTTTTACTTGGAAATGTGGAACTATGTGATTATTGGTCATAATCTTCTATTCTGGAATTAAAAGCTATTAGTTTAAAAAATATTACTATCATGGTTCATTATTAAAAATCATCTATTTTTTTTGTTCTTTAAAAAAAGTCCTGTTTTGGCCTCGCATTTATTTCGTACATTTTAAAGCTTACGATGAAACTTGAAGCAGTTTTTAGCTTCATCCGGAACTAAAAGTGTCAATTTTGGTAAATATTGGAGTTTTCCACTTATTAGAATACTATTAGCAAATATTATCCTAGACCAGAGTTCTTTGTGAAGAAGGAGCAACTTACAAGATGTAAATAGCAAAAAAAAAGAAAACAATTCGGGGGAATCCAAGTGAACGTTGCAGTAAACAGGAAATGTTTGAGGAAAGGAAAAGAAATTTGTGACAGGAAAATTAATAGTAACAATCAAGAAGGAAAAGACCTGTTTGAAGGTAAACGAATGAAAGACTAAAAGAGATGGCAACAGTTGATTCGGGAGCACAGAGCGGCTCGTGACAGGGTGGAATGGAAATAGATCGCCCAGGGAGTGGTGCACGGTGCTGAACCAGAGTTAGCGAGACATTTACAGACAATCTGACGTGACTACACGTGATTTGTGTATACATGTCTAACATTACGAATTGGGGGTAGTTTTTTATAAGGCAAAAGAACAAGTGATGGCATCAGTTTGAACCTAAAGATATAAGAAAAACAAAAGTTATGAAATGATCATAATGGTGAAAGTGTATATGTCACATTTATATGGAAGTCCTAGTTTAATACTTTCTGATTTTTCCGCCAGTAAAGTGCTGGAAAGTTTTCCATATTAATCATGTAAAAACTAATAATACCCCACAAAGTACGGAGTCGGTAAAAACACATTACCACTTATGTCGTTTCCAATACTATTGAGAAAGACCAGGACCATTCTAAGTTAGTTTGAGGAAGTCTATGTTATATTTAGATGGAAGGACCTAATTTTATACTTTGTAATTTTCCCGCCGAAAAGTTCTGTCCAATCACATATACATTAGTCATTTTAAAAGTAACAATACCCTACAAAAAACCATATCGCTGTTGTTTATAGTTCTCCATACTACCGTTGAAGTTTATTTGTTTATTTATTGGTAACCACAAAGCTACACAATTTACTATCTGTGCTGTGCCCACCACGGGTATCGAAATCCAATTTTTATCGTCATAAACCGTCAGACTTACCGCTGAGCTAGCGGGAAGCTACTTTTGATAGAGAGCAGGATCTGAGTTTGATTCCATTTAGTTCTTCTGTACTTTCACTTGCAAGGTTTTTTATCCATTCAGTTTGTTAAAATCACAGTTGTCATTCATACTTATAAAAAACAACAAATTTACCTCTCTTGAAAATTCTAAGCCCCTGATCTGAACACATCTCTATGATCTGAATGTATGAATATCTTGCATCGAAACGGGCTGTTTCATACTATTTACCAAAAGCGATCAGTTTTCGGTGGCATCATCCAACAAACGAAACGTCAAACAATCTCAATATATAGTTCTGATACACGTCGTTCCATCATGACTTTATATCGGCTGTGGTGGCCGCAGAATTTGCTGATTTACAGGTTTGAGATCTTTTTGATATAACTGTATAACTTATTGGAAATGTGAGTAAAATATTACATTAAGTTGTACAGACTCGTAACTGCTACTCGGTGGTATATTTTCCACGAAATAAAAACACAGTCGTAACTGCCAGTGAGTGATATCTTTGCAGCATATTCAAAAACACAATGTTGTAACTACCAATCGGAGATATATTTGCAACATATTTAAAACACAGTCGTAACTGCCAATCGGAGATATATTTGAAACCTATTTAAAACACAGTCGTAACTGTCAAGTGGTGATCTATTTGCAACATATTTCAAACACAGTCGCAGCTGTCAAGCGGTGGTCTATATGAACATATTTAAAACACTGTCGCAACTGTCAAGCGGTAGTCTATTTGCAACATATTTAAAACACAGTCGTAACTGTCAATCGCTAGTCTATATGAACATATTTAAAACACAGTCGTAACTGTCAAGCGGTGGTCTATTTGCAACATATTCTTCAAAAACACAATGTTGTAACTGTCAAGCGGTGGTCTATATGAACATATTTAAGACACAGTCGTAACTGTCAAGCGGTGGTCTATTTGCAACATATTTAAAACACAGTCGTAACTGTCAAGCGGTGATCTATATGAACATATTTAAAACACAGTCGTAACTGTCAAGCGGTAGTCTATTTGCAACATATTTAAAACACAGTCGTAACTGTCAAGCGGTGGTCTATATGAACATATTTAAAACACAGTCGTAACTGTCAAGCGGTGATATACTTGAAACCTATTTAAAACACAGTCGTAACTGTCAAGCGGTGGTCTATTTGCAACATATTTAAAACACAGTCGTAACTGTCAATCGCTAGTCTATATGAACATATTTAAAACACAGTCGTAACTGTCAAGCGGTGGTCTATTTGCAACATATTCTTCAAAAACACAATGTTGTAACTTTGCACTATATGTAAAAACACGATATTCAAGTTGGAGCATCATTTATCTTAAGTTGCACTTCTTTTGGGGAACTTTCTTAAAATAACTTGCGGTATTTCATTTTTAATACTGAACCTATCTTTAAGCCATTTATCTAAACTGAACGGAATTATGTTAAAGTAAGTTAACGAACATGGGCTTTATTCCCAGAAGTTTCGCTTATGCGGCTATATCAAGGAGTTGTATAATGCAGCGTCATCAAAATGTCGAAGAATAAAACTTTGTTTTATCTTAAGCTTCACTTGTCGAAAATATTTGAAAGGCATAACAGCATCTGGAAAAGGAGAAAAAACAATAATAACAAATAACACATGTATGAGATTATTTTCCTGATTTTTTTAGACCATGTGGTTTGAATACATAGTAATGATATAAACTTTTACTGTAATGATTCATATATCAAAGGTTCAAACGCAGTTTTCATGTGATGAATGTGGCTTGAATATTTATTCCAAAAAACACATTATATTCATGATGAGTTTGCTGTTATATGTACTTTTATTACATCTTTTGACATTTCATCAAACACAAATTCTAAAGAGTGAACTTACACGTGTTCGTAGAAGCTAGCTTTAGATTCAAAGCTATTTAACTTCATCTAATTATTTCTTTTCTCCTTTTTGTGTTTTGAGTAAAGGTCGAATATGTTTTAATTAAAAGCTCATTATGTTTCAATTAAAGGACGATCATGTTTTGATCAAAGGGCGACCATGCTTCAATTAAACGACGATCATGTTTTGATCAAAGATCGATCATATTTCAATTAAACGACGATCATGTTTTGATCAAAGATCGATCATATTTCAATTAAAGGACGATCATGTTTTGATCAAAGATCAACCATGTTTCAATTAAAGGACGATCATGTTTTGATTAACGATCATATTTCAATTAAAGGACGATCATGTTTTGATCAAAGATCATATTTCAATTAAAGGACGATCATGTTTTGATCAAAGATCGATCATATTTCAATTAAAGGACGATCATGTTTTGATCAAAGACCAACAATGTTTCAATTAAAGGACGATCATGTTTTGATCAAAGATCAACCATGTTTCAATTAAAGGACGATCATGTTTTGATCAAAGATCGATCATATTTCAATTAAAGGACGATCATGTTTTGATCAAAGACCAACAATGTTTCAATTAAAGGACGATCATGTGTTGATCAAAGATCATATTTCAGTTAAAGGACGATCATGTTTTGATCAAAGATCAACCATGTTTCAATTAAAGGTCGATCATGTTTTACCAAATACTTTTCCAACGTATTATGTAGTTATGGGCCAAGAAGACAGTTTGATATTTAATCTTGATGTCACTTGGAAACCTAGGTTAGATATGCATTAATCACTTTAGAAAGACCAGAAATTGTTAGAATTTAATTACTCTAAAATCTACTTTGTTTTCAACTAACCTGCTACTGACTAATAAACTAATTAATGATTATCTCCACCCCAAAGTAACATTTATATCCACAAATGACTAATAACTAAGGTATTCTACTCCCGAGGGTAAAATTAACGTCCACAAAGTTTCTACTGTTTGATATTGTGCAGTTACTGACTAATACATTCACGAACGATATTCTCCACCCTCGGGTAATACGTGCGTCCACAAAGTTTCTGCTCATTAACTGATATTCTTTACACTAAGTTAAGACTAGAATTCACAGAGTTTCAGTTGATTAAAAGGATATTCTTCACCCGGAAGTAACTTGGTGTCCCAATTACCTTTTTTTTTCTTCTGTTTTTAGATGCCTTTCATATTAGTGATTAACACAATAACTGATGATATTCTTTACCGCAGGATGACACTGATGTCCATGCCAAGATATTGAATGTTAGCTTCTCTGCTCGTCGACCGGATGTTCGTAATCCTAATGGCTTCTACAGTCCACAGTATCTCCAGGAACGTGTTTATCTGAACCGTGCTATACTTGCTAAGCTAGCAAATGTAGAGGTAAAATAATGTTGGCTGTATTAATGGGCTATTGTAAAAATAAGTTACTGTATCAGAAGGTTGTTGTTAGTAGCATAACACTTGATAACATAACAGAAAGTTATTTTAATAACTTAGGAATATCATAGAAATATGTAACAGAAAAATTAGTTTCTTAAACATATGTGTGTATATAAAGTTGAATTATTGTTAATAACATACTTAGTATCATAAAGAGTATTTGATTTTAGCAGAAACTCTTGGTGACACATCGTTAAGTTAGTATTAGAAACGGAAGTCTAATTAAATATAACTATTGTTTTTCCTTCCTGAGATGAAAGAAATTGTTTGAGTTTCAGCAAGGAAAATCCACCAAAAACATAGCCATTTATTGAACACAATATATACTCGAAACATATTTGTGACAAGACAAACAAAGGGGTTAACCTTAACTTTATGCGCTTCTCATCTACACTGAGGTTAATTTATTGGAAACATCATTGTTGCTTGTGATATGAACAAGATTTAATGTATATTATTGGTAATGTTACTACTGTATATTTGGAATAAAGTAAAATGCTTTTATAACCCAAAGTTGATTAATTACATATTGTTGAGAGTAGATGTTAAGAAATATGAGGCAGGCAGTATTACTGCCTATGTTGGGATGGCTCAGATTGTTCATCGAAATGATATTTTAAATATCTCCTCAATAGGTTATCAGAACTTTACAATACTATACAGTGT